ACTTCTGAACAAAAAGCAGTTATAATTTATGGTTACAAAAAAAAAAATACCTATTATAATATCACAGTCAATGTCAGATGCAAAAAAAGTGTGGTGGATAACGTTATAAAGTGTTTTATTGAAACTGGATCCACAGAATCGTATACACAACAATCAGAATGACCACGACTCCTCAATAAGCGTGCTCGTATCATCCTAAAAAAACTTGTTACTGGCAAAAAGAATAACAGACATGTTACTGCTGCAAAACTAACCAATCTTTTTATAGCCAAAACGGGAATCAAAGTATTTGAAAAAACCATCTGTCGAATTCTATATAAAAAACAGTTAAGAAGCTGTATTGCCTATTCCAAGCTCTTCCTTTCAGAAAAAAATATTGAAGACTAACTTACCTAATGCCTTACACATAAAAATTGAACTATTTGGGACTTCAAAAAAATAGTCTGAAGCAATGAGTCTATATTTACTCAATTTCAGTAAGGAAGTAAATGTTATATTTAGTATAATCCATATAAAGAGTGGAATACTAAATGCCTTTCTGCCACCATTAACCATAGTCCAAGCCATATACATTGGAGATATTTTTTATGGTTTGGTGTTGATCCCCTTGTTTCTTTTTGCATCTTAGTTAAAAGTAAGATAAAATATTTATTAAATAAAAAAAAATTGGATTTTTTTAAAAAAAAAAAAATTTTTTTCGATTTATTGTAAAAAAAAAAAATTAGATTTACATTTTTTTCCTTATAACAAAGTCATATATCACAACTTTTCAAGATTATCTTTTGCCAGCCTTTCGAAATTTCGATAGAACTAATTGGGATCATAGTGATTATTTTTGGTTTCAACACGATAATGCAAGATCACATGTCACAAAAATTACAAAGAAGTTTCTTGCTAATAAAAATATTTGAATTATGGACTGGCTTTCTTGAAGTCCAGATCTTAATCCAATCGAAAACCTCTGATATTATATTAAAGTTCAGGTTCACAAGATCAAATCTAATAATTTAATAAAGTTTGAGGATTGTGTTTTAAAATGTTGAAATGAGATTGATCCAATATACTGTAAACAATTAATCAAGAGTATGCCACATTATATTATGGCTTGTATTGTGGCTAAAAGGAGGGTTACAAAATATTAAAAAAAATATAATTAGCTATATAGATATCTATAAATCAATAGAACATAAATTAATAATAAAAAAATAAATTAAATATTTAAAAAATTTTAATTTAATTTTTTTTTTTTTTATATATTATAGCCATTAAATAAGAAATTTGAAAAATTTTTTAAATTTTTTTTTCTCAAAAACTATTGCATAATTTTTTTTAAAATTTTTTTATTTAAAAGTTTAGTTTTTAAAGATTTTAAATATATTTTTTATTTATTTAATTTTCTATTAATTTAATTTAATTTTTAATTTTTAAAGTTGTCCATAAACTTTTGTCTACTCTCTGTATTTTTTTGGTAATAAGAATATTAAAACAAGGTCATTCTGATTATAATCTTGCAAAATTTTGATATAATAGACAATGGTACTTTCACATATAATACATTGTACCAAGCTTAATTTAGCTTACATTATATTATTTTCTCTTGGGCAACAAGAGTTTGCATGCTTATTTATTTACTTCCATCATATAACTTTAAAAAATATTTATATCCCTTCCTATTTCAGAATGAAAGCCGATAACAAGTTGTAAATAAAATAATTTTTTTCTTTGGTTATTTGTATTTTTTGTCATCAAATGTTATGTTGTCTTTTACTGTTGTGACTTGTAACAAGATTCTATAATCATGAAACAATATAATGCATTTTGAAAAATTGTCAAATTTTTTTTACATTATTGTAAACTTCGATGTTTTTTTTTATCATAGTCTCAAGTAGGAATCAGGAATTTAATGAAATATATTATTTAATGTGCTTGTCACAGACCAGTAAACCGATGTCCTAAAATTATTGTTGTATTCATGATCTAATATTTTTATATTGATTATTCAATTCAATTCAATTTAATTGGTTATACTATTATGATTGTTTAAATAATAAATAAAAATATTTTATTCTTTCTGATTAACTAGCAGGTCATTGCCTAATATATTTTATTGTAATGAGGATTTGTACATATGTGTTATATTACATGTATTATAACTTAACAATTTTATTAAATATTTAGACTATATCGGGTTTTCCAAATATTGGCTTTATGCTACCTAATTTATACTATAGGAATTTTCTATTGCAAAATGATTAGGACCTAATGCTCTACTGTATTATTAGTATTGTTTAATCAGAAATTCTTTTATAGTTCTATTTTTTAATCATGAATGTTGTTAAGGGAAAGTGAAAAAAGAATAGGGATGATACCTACTTTGGCAAATAAAATTCAATAACAGAAAAAGACACCAGATACCATGAGGAAAGAATCACCAAACCATTTTGCTTGAAACAGAATACCTTCTATACCTTATCAACTTCTTCTGATGATTATCATAGCACCAACCAAACGATCGTCACATCACGACACCTTTTATGGAGATTATAATCTTAATGCCTGCTGGATCAGTATATAAAACTGACTTTTTATAAGAAATAGTACTTTTTTTGATAGGTTATAATATCAGATATCATATTAATTCTATTCAATCACCTTTATATAAGATTGAACTGATATCTTGTAATCTGACCTGTGGAGCACTAACCATTATGTTATAGATCTACAGGTCTATAAATAAAAATATTTTATTTAAAATAATGATTACATTAAAATGATATTATTTTTTAACCATGTGTATTAACACATTTCTTTTATATTTAAGTTTTACGATCTATGTGATTAATAGATATTATGGGAATTTTTTCCATAAAAACTTTTAGATATCATATATAAATATTTTTTTCACCTTCTTTCCTTAAATACTTTGCAATCTTAATTTTCTAACAATAATAGATACTCTATGACAATACGTAAATATGTCAACATTATCTTTTAATACTATCTTATTCTATTTTCTTATAAGTCAATAGGTAATAAAGAAGGCAGATCAAAGCAAGATTTTGACTAGCTATTTTGTTACCAAATTGGGAACCGAAGACTTCTCCATTTCCTTGTCATGTAACTGTATTTGAGGGAACAATAGTAATATGCTATCTTCCTATTACTCATGGTACACGTATAGGTCATGGTTGAATATTGTATCTCCAGTATATTTCACCATTTTATTATACATAGATTACTGAAGATAGATTGAGTTAGATTGGATTGGCCAAGATAGTATACTATTCAAAGTTCTATATGTGTAAGTTTGGTTGAAAGATGATCTCTGATAGATGCCGTGCTATTCTACTATATGTGCTTACAATGTATGTACGGTAAGTTGTATTGGCAGAATCTGGAATCCTTGTTACAATTATATGAGAGACTTTATCGAGGCCCTTGGTTTTTGTTCAAGCCGGTTCCTATTTGACTTGAAAAACTTATGGATTTTTTTATTTTAAGCTTGCTTAATAACATATGTTATTAACTTTTTTTTATATTTTTTGTAGTAAATTTATTTAAATGCTGTGGAAAAAGTTAGTTATTGTTATAGGTTTTGATCACAAGAAAGTAACATGATTAGCTTAATTATCTATATTTAATATAAAAAGCATAGTAACAATAAAGTAAAATATAATTTCCTATATAATATGCTTTATGATGAAAGGAAGCAGTATTTGATATGGTATATGGCAAATTATTATTATCAGCGAAACAACCGAAATGTTCTATCAAATTTGTCTTGAAATTCTTAGACTGATGCGTGGGATTGTCGATCGTATGTTTATAATAATTTTCTACAGCTATTTTCGTATCATCTGCAAATGTTTTATCAAGGCTAAAAAGTTAATTTTGTAAGTGTTAGGTTTTACGACATTTGATGAGAACAACTTCTAGCTAAGCTTGAATAATTTGTCTTTAATGCTTTTTTTCGAGAAATCTTTCAGTGAAAGTAAAGTGAGGGGTCATAGAGGTAATAGTAGATTGCAAAAGACTATTCAGTTTAAGATCACTCGCGAGGAAATCTTTAGAAACCCATTTAGATAATATATTCACGGGTTTCGTTTTCCAGTAAGAGACGAGTTTCTGATTGCGATTTATGCTTAAAATAACGATAAAATGGATAAATTTATATGATTATTCTTTGGTATACAGTATATGCGAGAAAGATACATGCAAATTACATATTGCCTTGTAGCTCAGTGATTTTTATTTACATAGTTCATAAAAACCATGGAATTCTGCGTGCCTTCCTCACCTTGCTACACCAACAATAGTAGGTATTACGTACTTTTGCGGAACAATAGATTATCGATCGAGTTTTAAAAATCTCAGTAACCCTTTATCAAAGGCACTATGTGCCACACAAAAAGCAATATGATGAAAAAAAAATATTGACTATACTAGCTATGCGATAATGGCCTTATAAATAAAAGAAATATACCCTTAACGGGTCGAAAAGTATATCAGCAGATCTGGCATGGACAAGCGAGGTGGAAGGACTGACAAGTGATAACACGCCTTTTTCCAGTTCACGAGATATTTTTGCCTGCTTCTTTGCCTGTTTTTTTTCCCACTTCTTTTTATTGTAACGGAGGCGTCTTGATAACTTCGTTTTCTTACGATCATATATTATCATAAAAGGAAATTTGATCGACAATATAATTCCGAATTAAAATTATTTACTATACAATATGTTACTTAGTAATTTTACCATAATTATTTTTGAATTCAATTTCATCACATGTATAGTTACGATAAAGCGATGCAGAGAAAAAATGATCTTGGTATATTATTAATAGGAGAAAAAGCAAAAAGCAACGCAAAAGCATCCATTTAGTTGTTTGCTCATTATTAATTTGAAATTTAATGATGAAAAATTACGTTGATTAAATTGGTTCATAAAAATGGTATAAGGAAAGCTTTATTAAACTCTGGTATCTGTTCGCGATACTCTAATATTAATCTCCGTACTCACTCCAGTGGATATTATGGCGGGAATGATCCTCATCTTCGCGATAAGTCCATTTCTTAATAGAATCAACCGTGATTTGAAAATCTTGATGGTTCTCATTCCACCATGCAACAAACATTTCAGGAGTAGTGAGCCCTTTCGTCTTGAGGTCGAACATGTATTTGGGGTCAGGAAATTCGTGAATTTCTTCGTACATTTTCTTGAGGGAAACTTAATTTTGGAATTTAATGTGAACAGTTAGTCTGGCAGTCTCTAAGAAAACTTATTGAATCAGAGTTGATAGGATACGGTACGGATGCTGAGTTTAATTGTTATAGCTTTAGACTCTTCAGAGTCACTATAATCGTCGTCAGGCGAGTAATAGGCCAAATCATCCCCTAAAAATCAATTATAATGACTTCAATGCTTAATATCATTTGAAAAAAAGCGTTGTACTCTCAATACCTTGTATCTGATTACTGTTCGTTGGAACAGTAGAGTTATTTTCTTCGAAAGAAGGGTTTTGATCAGTTTCAGCAGATGTGGCTTTGGTGTTATTCATTGTCACAAAAGATTAAAGCAATAAATTTTAAAAAAATTTTCATTTTATGTAAAAAAATTTACCTTGTGTAACTTAGCTAAAAGTAAACTAATCAGATAACTATGCTCCGCTACTTCGCATCTGCTTCTCATTCACCTAAAGGTTTATGCTCACAGTAATAAAATAACCAAATAGATAACTATGCTCCGCTACGCTTCGCAGACTGTTTCACATTTACCTAAAAGGTTTCATGTTCATAGTGATAGAAAGCTAATTGCGAACTAAACAGATAACTAATGCTTCACTACGCTTCGCATCCAGAGTCGCTATGCTCCTCTGAGACAGAAAACATTCTAGTAATCAAATAAGATAACATATTTTGGTTAAATCGGTGTATTTTGGTTAAAAAAATCGATTTATATAAGTTATCAGGAATAAAATACACCGACCGTGTACCTAAAAAGCCATACTAAAATTCCTAACTCTGCTTGCTCAAATTATTTATATGATAGATTAGTAATTGGAACTGGTCAGTTTAAACTAGGCAACTGTAAGCCCATTTAATATGGAAAATAGATATTATTTTACCCTCAGTCTGTACTTATCCAAGTTATTAGCAAATAAAGAATGGTAAAGGCTTTATTACTTTAATATAAAATAAAAAATATATTATTGATTTTTTAAAAATTTTATTTTAATATATACGTTAGTAATCTTAAAATTTTTTATATTTTAAACATAAATTGTCAAAGAAAATTTTTAATAAATCGGTGATAACAGAAGTTTGTTTTTAATACATAATCTTAAAAGAAAATTTTTTTAAAAAATTATTCTTATCAAGTATTCTATATACTGTATTTATTTAAGTATAAACCTTAATAAAGGCAATCGGACCACATATTCTGTAATCATGTATCACATGATAGTTTAGAATAAATTAACGCTTTGTTAAAAAGTGCAAAGCCATTCTTCTTCCGTATTTTTCCATAGAAGCGCACTAAGGTATGTACGTAACCAATTCATTTATTATCGTGTTTCCTAATTTAGAGGTGAATTCGTTTAGCCGCAGACGGATTACTTATATAAACTTTTCAATCACGTTTCAACTATCACTTCTTTCCCTTCGTACAATATTTGTTACTCAGGAACGCCGCTTAAAAAAGTTTTACAAGTGTCTAAATGGAGATCTCGCTGTAAGGTTTTAACTTCCATCTCATAAATACACAAAAGCAAACTTGAT